ATTTTTTTGCCCACCCCAAAATAGTTTACTTCCTTATTAATGAATCTTGAACTTTCTTTATATATTCTGTATACAAGTTCTTTATCAAAAACAAGATTTGAAAACATTGTCTTTCCAGTTGTGAACTGTTTCTTCATTCTCTTTCAGGGACTTCTGAAGAACAAAAAATTAGTAATTTTTTTAAAAATGGAGAGACTTCCCTGATGGTCCAGTGTTTAAGACTGCACACTTCCACTGCAGGGGGCACAGATTTGATCTCTGGTCAGGGAACTAATATCCCACACGTGTGAAACAAGTGTGAGGTGCAACAAGTGTGAGGTGATACCTCCTGTGGTTTTGATTTGCCCTCCCCTGATAGTTAGTAACATTGAGGTTTTTTTTCATCCATCTGTTGCACATTTGTTTGTCTTTTTTTGGAAAAATGTCTGTTCAAACCATTAGCCTATTGTTTGATCAGGTTATTAATTTTTTCAGTATTAAGTTATAGAAGTTCCTTATACATTTTGGAGATTATCCACATAGAAGATATATGCTTTGCAAATATTTTCTACAACTCCATGTATTGCCTTTTTACTTTGTTGATTGCTCCTTTTGCTGTGAAGAAACTTTTTAGCTTAATGTAGTCTTGTATGGTTTTGGTTTTATTGTCTGTGCTTTTGATATCATTTTCACAAAATCATTGTCAAGATCTATGTTATGATGTTATGTTTTCTTCTAGGAGTTTCAAAGCTTTAGATCTTATGGTTAAGTGTTTCATCCTAGTTGATTTTCTTATATTACATGTGAGTACATTTTCTTTTTTTTTTTTTTATTTCATCCAACATTTATTAGGGGTCTACTGTAAGCCTACAAGGCCCTAGATGGGGTGCAGATACTAAGAGATACACAGGTTAAGTCAGGCATCATAGCCCTGCCCAAGAATTTGATGGTACAGTTACTGAAGAAGAAATAAAGACATATCTGTATATAAAGGTGAGAATGTAAATGGGGTCACACAGGGCTTCTCAGACGGAGACCCTCTACCCATCTTGAAAGACAAAGTTGGAGGCTTGGGACAGAGGAAGGGCAAATTCCAGGCAGAGGCCAAGGAAAAATGGACAGAGAGGCAAGATGAAGTACTCAGGGGCCAAATAGTGCAGAAACTTCAACTTCAGGATAATAAATAATACCTGCTAACATTAGAGCTCTCAGAATGTGCCAGGCACTGTGCCATCATACATTATGTTGACCATATACACTCTCTCAATGCTCACAACAGAGAGAGCGTGAGGTAGTAGATATTTATCACTCCTGTCCTATACATGGGACACTTGAAACTCAGAGAGCCTGCGACTTGACCAAAGCCACAGTTAGAAAAAGCCGGTTTTAAACCAACTCTCCAACACAGTGCTTAACCAGTGGATTCCACAGAGACACCTGCAGATAGCCACACCCTCATCTGCAGAGCTGGACATACATCCTTCCACAGGGACCCCATTATTGAGGGGCATTGAAGAAAAGAACTGAAAAACCTGGGGCCAGCCATCCTTCTTTGCCTTGGCTTTACCTCTACAAAAGTCAGGGACAGAAGTGTCAAGAGAACTGGGAACATGAATAAAAAAAGGTTTAGCTATTCCCCAATTTCTAAAACCCATTGTGCTTGTGTGGGGGGGTCCACCCTCTGGTCACTTCCACTAAACTCAGGTTGCTATGAGCGACTGTTGTGCCTGTCCAAAGCATTTCCTCATCAAATACTCACAATGAAAGAGCAAACATATGGGGGCTAGAGGCAGGCAGAGAAGTTCGACATTCAGTACCTGCCATCAAGTTCAATTCTCTGCTTCCATCACACCCCAGGAAATAGGGTGGGCAGGCTACATCCTGTGACAATACTGAGGCAGGGGCAGTGGGCAAAGACAGAGCTTTCTTGGTGGTAACAGGTCCAAAGGCTGATTCAGTAAGCAGTGAATCAAGTATGAACAAACTCTGGGCATCCAGAGAGATCCCAATGGAGAGCATATAGCCCTTACAAGTCAAGCCAAGGTCTGTGCCATCACCGCCTCTGACCAAAGGCTCACCCACCCCCTGCCCCACACAGAAGAGAGGCGCTCAGGGGAAACTGACATTTGGTTTTATTGTGCCAAGGACATTACAGATGGTGGATCTTGTTGACACCTGCAAGGCATGAGTGCCCCATCTGCTGAGGCTGCTCCCACCCCCCCCACACTCAAATCCTAGGCGGCGGCCATGATCCTCAAAGGTGCCCCCCACCCTGAGATTCCAAAAAGACTGGTGGTGGTGGTGGAAGCATAAGGAATGCAGCGAGGTCAGAGTCTCGTCCAAAGCCCACTTGACACCTGCCCCCTCCTGCCCTCCCACCCCACCCTGGCTCATACTCTAGACCCTGCCCATCTCCACAGAGCTGGAGGCCAGGTACATCAACCACATCTTTGTGCCCCGTGGCCTACCTGCCTCCAAACCAGAGAGATGTCACCTTCATAGAGCCAATGCTGTTGTCTACATCACTGATTGATTTTATAAGATAAAAGTATATTTTAATAAAGAAAAAAACATTGAAGGCTCAGACATTTTAAGGGTACTGGGAAGGGGATTTTTTCCCACTTCTTCCTCCCACCTCCCTGGTATCATTTGTGAAGGTAGGGTGACAAGTTTCTGATCTTGGAATAGAGGGCAGGGAGACTTTGCTGTCTGAATGTCTCTCCTCAGGGGCTGCCTGGCTGCCAGTTGGTTTGTCTCTGTATGCCCCTCGCCTACCTTCAGCACCCTTGCCCAAGTCCCCTGTGGAATGCAGGGATGGTGCTGTGCAGGGGGAAACAGAGCNGCGGTGAAGCGCACCCGGTGGCCCCGGGAGAGGGCCTTGAGGCGGTGGCGAAGCCCGAGGACGGGCCCCCACGACGCCCGAGTCACGGTCGCGGTCGCCGCCGCCCACACCCGGGCCGCCGCCGCCCACGCCTACACCCCCGCCGCGGCGAGGCGCCGGGGGCAGCGGTCCGGGCGGCGGCGGCTCGTTGGCGGGGTCGCCGTCGGGAGGCGGCGGCTTCTTTCTGGGGAGAATAGTCATGGCGGCACCGCCGAGTAGCCCCCAGCAAACCCGGCGCGTGAGTACATTTTCTTTCATTTGCATGTGGATATCCAGTTATTCCAACGATGTTGAAAAAACTAAAACATTCTTAATTTTGATGAAGTCTGACTTGACAATTTTCCTTTCATGGATCATATTTTAGGTGTTTTGTGCTTTTTTATTCTGTATTATATAATATTTCCTTATCCTGTAAATTTTTATTTACTTTATGATTACTTTGATAATGTAAATTACTTTGTTGATGTTCAGTGTGCAGTGTTAAATCATTCTTGCATTCTTTGCAAACCCCATTTAGTCACAATATATTATTCCTTTTACGTATTGTTGAATTCAGCTTGCTAAAACTTTTTCCTATTTTCTTGGTTTTTTATTGACATACAGCAATTTACATTATATTAGTTTCAAAGTGTATAATATAATGATTCAAAAATTTTATATAGGTTATATTCCTTTTAAAGTTATTATAAAGTATTGGCTATATTCCCTGTGTTGTATAATATATCCTTGTAGCTTATTTATTTTATGATTGTACTTTGTACTTCTTAAACCCCTACCCCTACTTTGCCCCTCCCCACTTCCATCTCCCCAGTGGCAACTACTAGTTTGTTCTTTATATCTGTGAATCTGTTTCTTTTTTGTTACATTCACCAATTTGCTTTATTTTTTACCCTCCACATATAAGTGATATCATACAGGGTTTGTCTTCCTCTCGCTGACATTTCACTTAGTGTAGCACCCTCCAAGTGCATCCATGTAGCGGCAAACAGCATTATTTCATTCTTTTTATGGCTGAGTAATAGCCCATTGTATATCTGTACCACATCCTCTTTAACCATTCATCAGTTGATGAACACTTTGGTTGCTGCCATATCTTGGCAATTATAATAATGCTTCTATGAATGTTGGGATGCATGTATCTTTTCAAATGAGTGTTTTCAAGGGTTTTGTTTTTGTTTTTAGATATATACCCAAGAGTGGATTTGCTGGGTCATGTGGTAGTTCTTTTTTTAGTTTTTGGAGAAACTTTCATATTGTTTTCCAAAGTGGCTATTTCAATTTAATTCCCATGGACAGTGTATGAGAGTTCCCTGAAGGAAAGTTTTAAACTGGATATTAAATTTCATTAATAGACATATTGCTAATTACATACCTACTTCTTCCTGGATGAACTTCAGTATTTATCAGTGGTGTCCTTTTCATCAAAATTATCAAATATATTAGCATAAAATTATTCATAATATGTCCTTTAAATATCTATAGCATCTGTAGTGATTTGGACCTCTTTCGTTCTTAATATTGGTATCTCTTTTTTTAAATAAAATTTTAATTTTAGAATAGTTTTAGATTTACAGAAAATTTATGAAGATAGTACAGAGATTTCCTATATGCCCCACCTACTGTCCCCTATTATTAACAACTTCCATTAGTATAATAAACTTGTCAATTAATGAACACATGTTGATACATCATTATTAGCTGAAGTCCATGCTTTATTCTGTATATTGTCACCCTGCTTATTTAACTTATATGCTGAGTACATCATACTAAATGCTGGGCTGGATGAAGCACAAGCTGGAATCAAGATTGCAGGGAGAAATACCAATAAATACCAGAAATATCAATAACCTCAGATATGCAGATGACACCACCCTTACAGCAGAAAGCAAAGAACTAAAGAGCCTCTTGATGAACGTGAAGGAGGAGAGTGAANTGATGGACAGGAAGCCTGGAGTGCTGCAGTCCATGGGGTCGCAAAGTGTCAGACACAGCTGAGCGACTGAACTGAACTGAACTGATACTTTACTCAGTATAATAATTTTTTTTTAACTCATCATTTTTATGTTCCAAATTCCAACCAGGATATCACATTACATTTTGTCATCGTTGCTTCTTAGGCTCATCTTGCTGTGACAGTTTCTCAGAGTTTCCTTGCTTTTGATGACTTTAATACTTCTGCAGAGTGCTCACTAGGAAATTTTTAGAATGTACCTCAGTTTGAGTTTGAAGTTTGTCTGAAGTCTGTCTCTGATTGAACAGGGTTTATGGATTTGGGGAAGAAAATCCAGTGAGACAAAGTACCGTTCTTATTGCATTATATTGGATACACACCATCACTGTGACATCACTACTGATGCCGACTTTGACCACTGGCTAAGGTCACATGTGTCAGGACTCTCAACAAGTTAGCCTTATCTCCTCTATTTCCACAGCTTACTCTTTAGAAGAAAGCCTCTGCACGCTGCGAATTTAAGGAGTAGGTTGTTATGCTCCATCTCCTTGAGGATATAGTACGTACATAAATTTTTTGGAATTTTTTGGCACAGGAGATTTTTTTCCCTCATTTATTTATTCTACCACTTATTATATTAGTATGTACTCATGGATATTTATGTTATACTTTAGGTTATAACCCAATGTACGTTCATCATCTTGTGCTCAGACTGTCCGGCTTTGGCCACTAGAAGCTTTGCTACGGTGCCCCTTTGACATGTCTCCACCATTGACGGGGTGGCAGTTGGAACAGGGATTTTTGGTAAGCACGTCCTTATGTTCTGGCACCACAAGATGCTCCAGGTTCATCTTGGATATTTCCTACCTCAGTCTTAAAAGCAGATATCTTTTTCCTCTTTATCAGTCTAATAATAACAAATTAAGTTCAAAAGGGAAATATCTCCAGACGTGGTTAATATGGAGGCTAAACAATATCAAGGACCTGAAACTGTGCAGGGCCCTGTGGATCTCCCAAGCACTGAGACCCTTCTCTCCCCTCTTTCTTTAAGGCAAGACCAGCTTCCCCAACCTTCCCTGAGTTCCAAAGGCTGGATTCCAACATTTGCTAATCATGGGAGGAGCAGCCCAGAACTCTCCTGAGGCAAGATTAAAGAGACCAGAGAGGCTCATCAAGATTAGGAGACCCGGCCACCTGAGCTTTGTCACGTCTGACTCTTTGTGACCCCAGGGACTGCAGCTCACCAGACTTCCCTGTCCTTCACCATCGCCCAGAGTTTGCCCAAACTCCCGTGCATTGAGTTGATAATGCCATCCAGCCGTCTCCTCTTCTGAGATTAAGGGGCTGCAGACTCTGTTCACAGCCTCATCCTGTCAGAGACCCCACCTGTGACTCACCGTTACAAAAGCCCTCTGCGAGTTCTCTGGGGTAGGGACACATGGGTTTTCCAGGCAGAAGCCCAGTGTGCCTCGCTTTGCCTGACAATAAAGCTATCCTTTTCTAATTCACCCAAAACTCTTGGTTCGTTACCGGTGCACAGAGAGGCCGAGCCTTCAGTAAGACTTTAGGTGGGCTCCTCCAATGGTCCCAAAAAGGCTATCAACGGCTCCAGGCATCGCCTCTTCACAATCCATACAAGAAGCTGAAGAAGGAGCATGCCCACTTCTTTCAAAAGCAAAAGAAAACTTCCCCTTGTGGCTCAGTCAGTAAAGAATCTGCCTGCAATACAGGAGACCTGGGTTCGATTCCTGGGAAGATCCCCTGGAGAAGGAAATAGTAATCCACTCCAGTATTCTTGCCTGGAGAATCCCATGGACAGAGGAGCCTGGCCGGACTACAGTCCATGAGGTCACAAGAGTTGGACATGACTTAGTGATTAAACCACCACCACCACCAAGATCCCTACCAGATTTCTCCTCTGATCTCATTGGTCCAAATTGTGTCACAGACTCATTCATTAACCAAACCCTGGAAAAAGTGAACAAGATTTCCATGTTCTGGATCTGGGGCCACTGCAAGGCCATCCAAATCTGAATAGCTTCACCATACTTTGGGGGGTAAATAAAAACGGGATTCTGTTCACACGGAATGGGGAAGGGGTTACCAGCTGTTTGTAGGTGGTTAACAGTGTCTACCATAGAAAGTAATGATAGATATCTCAGAAATGTCTCTGCACTGATAGAAGAGACGTCAGTCAGTTGTTAGGATTTAGGCAGAAAGGGAAACCTGGCGAGCTGCAGTCCATGGGGTCGCAAAGAGTTGGACAGGGCTGAGCGACTGAACGACAACAGATGTATTGGGTTGGGGAGGGGTCATAGAGTCTTTACTGGGTGCGTTGAAAAGCCAGAGTGTTACAAAAAAGCACTCTTTCATCCTTTCTTTCCCTTTTCTTACATTGTCTCTGTCATTTTAACAACTGCCCTCCTCCACCCCTCCAAATGCTTTTATGAGTTTTCTTGCTTGAGGTCTTTTTTCTTCAAGTTTCTAAGTTACCAGCCTCCCTCTGGGCACCAAACAAAATGGTAAGAAAGCATCTGTAAAAGGCCCTCGGGATTACAATGAAGGAGTTCAGGTCTCTGCCCTCCGTCCTGGAATATTTCTGATCACTTGACAAAGGTACAATGAGAGTCAACAAAGGAGAAATTTCTTTATTCCAAACCAATAGTCATGAAGCATGTGGGCTTAATGCGGGCTCAAGGAAAGTAGGAAGTGGGTAGGAGGGAAAAAACTGGAAATATGACTCTGTCTTCAAGATTTACAACACATAAAAAAATTAGAGAACAAAGCCGTGTTTCCACTGGTGCCCAACACAACATATTAAACTCCAGATACGTCCACCTCTCCTTCCTGTCTTCTCCTCATTGTGCTGATTATAGCGGTTAGCATGTGGTCAGCTAGAGGCAATGAAAACCTAGGGGTTACTTTTTTCACATATTAAGAAACCCAGAGGGAAAGCCTTGCTGCCCTTAGTTCAGCTCGTTAAGAACACAGCCCTTTCTACTCTGCCACTCTCCGTTGAGGGGCTTTTTGTGTCTGCTGCTTCATGGTCACAAGATGGCTGCCACAGCACCTGGATTCAGGGCTACTTTCAAAGTCAGGGTGCAGTGAGGCAGCCAGATAGAGAGGGCTGATGTCCCTGCCTTCCATCAAGGGACTCAAAATACTTTTCACAAGCCTTCAACAGACTTTCCCTTTGTCTGACTAACCAACTTGGTCACAGGACCCTTTACTGGCTGTAGCAAAAATGAGTGCCTAGCAGTTTTAACTTAACCATGATTGGTTTAAAACCAATCACAATTTATTCGTAAGAGCTGGGCACATTGCTACCCTCCAAAAATAAAGGGGAGGTGGGGCAGAGAAATGGCAGGTAACCAGGTCTGCCAAGCTCATCTACACATGTGCCTTACATCCTGTTCACCTCATCTGTAGAGGCTTCACTGACCTCCTCCTCTTACTTAGGATCAGTTCGTACTTCAAGACCCCAGCTGACTGCACTGCCTCTAGGACACACCTAGCACCTACAGCCCCGGCGCAAGAGGAGGGCCCAGCTGACCCAGGCCTCTAGCCCAGGGTTGTTCAGTCACTCAGTCACGTCTGGGCTTCCCTGTCCTTCACTATCTCCCGGGGTATTCATGTCCATTGAGTTGGTGATGCCATCCAACCGTCTCAACCTCTGTCGTCCCCTTCCCCTCCTGCCCCCAGTCCTTCCCAGCATCAGGGTCTTTTCCAATGAGTCGACTCTTCACATCAGGTGACCAAAATATTGGAACTTTGGCTACAGCATCAGTCCTTCCAATAAATATTCAGGGTTAACTTCCTTTAGGATGGACTGGTTTGATCTCCTTGCTGTCCTAGGGACTCTCAAGAGTCTTCTCCAGCACCACAGTTCAGTGGAAGAGTCTGATTTCCTGGGTTTGAATTCCCAGTCAAGCCTCTTTCTAGTTTTGGCTTTTAGAAATTGTTTTGACCTTCCAGGAGTGAGGACATTTCAGTTTCCACATGTGTCCAAAGACCACACATAGAGGTACTGGCCCAAAGCTGTCTTCAGTTTTTAAAAAGAGACTGGGGGGGACGGCTGGATCATATCTACCTTCACAGAATCACTGAGAAGATTAAATGAAAGGACATATATGAAAAGACTGAATGGCTCCTGGCACATAGTAAATGTTTATTGCTCCTGCTACTGCTAAGTCGCTTCAGTCGTGTCTGACTCTGTGCGAACCCATAGACGGCAGCCCACCAGGCTCCCCCGTCCCTGGGATTCTCCAGGCAAGAACACGAGTGGGTTGCCATTTCCTTCTCCATTCAGTTCAGTTCTGTTCAGTCTCTCAGTCATGTCCGACTCTTTGCAACCCCATGGACTGCAGCACACAGTCTATCACCAACTCCTGGAGTTTACCCAAACTCATGTCCATCGAGTCAGTGATGCCATCCAACCATCTCTTCCTCTGTTGTCCCCTTCTGCTCCCGCCTTCAATCTTTCCCAGCAACAGGGTCTTTTCCAATGAGTCAGTTCTTCGCATCAGGTGGCCAAAGTATTGGAGTTTCAGCTTCAGCATCAGTCCTTCCAATGAACACCCAGGACTGATCTCCTTTAGGATGGACTGGCTGGATCTCCTTGTAGTCCAAGGGACTCTCAAGAGTCGTCTCCAACACCACAGTTCAAAAGCATCAATTCTTCAGTGCTTGGCTTTCTTTATAGTCCAACTCTCACATCCATACACGACTACTGGAAAAACCATAGCCTTGACTAGATGAAACTTTGTTTGCAAAGTAATGTCTCTGCTTTTTATATCTTTTCACTATCCTGCTTCAAAATTTTCAGTTGCTTCAGTCACCCTTATGGAAAAGGATCAAGTCCAACCTGCTTACTCAATCTGGCCTCTGCTACCTTTGGGACTCAGCTGTTCTGCTTGTGGCTCCACTGACCCTGTCACTCACCAGCCCACCTGCTCCTCCCACCCATTCATCCCTGCCCTGATCCAGGACTTTCTTCCTCCTGGGACCATCCTCTCTGCTCCTCTTAGAAGCCAGGCCAGGTAAGTTTCCCAGAGTGAAAGGAAGTTGGAATATATGAGAACTCGCTCAAGGAAGAATTCTCGTAGCTGGCCAGCAAGAAAGCATCCTGTACCACTAAGACCAGCTTACTTAGCATTTGACTAGATGTGAGTATTTGTGGGAATTCCCTGGTAGCTCAGTTGGTAAAGAATCTGCCTGCAGTGCCAGAGACCTGGCTTCAATCCCTGGGTCGGGAAGATCCCCTGGACAAGGAAATGGCAACCCACTCCGGTATACTTGTCTGGAAAATCCCATGGACAGAGGACCCTGGCGGGCTAAGTTCATGAGGTCACGAGAGTCAGACACAACTTAGCAGCTAAACCACAAGGCCCCAGACTAAACTCCAGAGAAGTTTGCATCCTGGGAAGGAGTGGGAAGCAGGGCTGCAACTCAGAGTGTGATACCCTGCACAGTGTGGAACTGTTTATACAGAAGAACATGCTCCTCAAGGAACCAAGCCCTTAGAACTTTGAAAGACCCCACAATTACCCAGAATCTACAATGTGCCCAGAGTTACAGGTGCAATCTCCCGAGATTTCTTGTTTAGTAAAGAGCCCACCAGCAGGGGATCTTCCTGACCCAGGGATCAATCCTGTGTCTCTTGCATCTCCTGCATTAGCAGGTGGGCTCTTTATCAGTAGGGCAGCCCAGATCATCATGCATGCGTATAACCAGTTCTCCAGAGAGACATTTGCAAGACACAATCAGGAGTGATGTTTTCTTTCCCTGGCCTGCTCTGTGGTTGGCTCGTCTCCTGCTCCCAGATGAAATCACAGGCAGTCCTGATGGCTTCCTGCTCACTCTCCGATGATGAATCCCCAATGTCCGCTGCACAAAGGAGCCCAATCTCCATTTCAAAGTTAAAACTCCTGCCCAGGTCAGTTGAGCTCTCCTGGCCGGCACATGGAAGCAAGCGGCTGCTTTCTTCACTCCTTCCCTCCCCTTGCTGGCTGCACTTTGACCTCTCCAAGGTCAGAATCGGGAGGAGGCAAACGTGAACACCCACTGGCCATGGTCCCTGTGTGACACCAACTCTTTCTCCGAGCCTCTCTCCCGCTCCCGCACTCCCCACGCTTTGGTGGTTTAGTCACTCAGTCGTGTCCGACTCTTGTTACCCCATGGACTGTAGCCCGCCAGGCTCCTCTGTCCATGGGATTTTAAAGGCAAGAATACTGGAGTGGGTTGCCATTTCCTCCTCCAGGGGATCTTCCCAACCCAGGGAGCGAACTCAGGTCTCTTACATTGCAGGCAAATTCTTTACCAGCTGAGATATGAGGGAAGCCCCCCCCCCACCTCCCCACCCCCGTACCGGAGATATTTCCTGCCTGTCATGCCCTCACCTCAGGCAAAAGCATTTCATCTAGTTCTTTACTTAAGAGCCCGTCCTTGGTCTCTGGAAACGTAGCAGTACCTCTCGATGCCCCTGCTGCTCTTAGAATTCTCCAGCACAGTCCCACAGGGGTCTCTCTCATGTGGCTCACCCCTGCTCTGCATAAACTTGCATTTTTGTCTCATGGTCATTGGAAGTGCGGGCACACAGCCATCTTCTCTGTGGCTTCAGCCAGCCCCTTACCTGTGAGAATCCGTATGCCCGAATCTGACTCTGGTCCCTGAGTTAACTAAGTTCCCTGGGCTGCAAACAACCTCTCCAAAAGGCATCACTGAAACTACTCTCATAGACCGAGGAAAAAAGATACCACCCCACCCTCCCTCTGTGGAGAGATAAAGCTTACTGCACAAGACCTATTTCTCTTCTACGAAACCTACTCTGTAATCTCCAGCCCTTCTCTCAGTCTTGCTGATGTTTTGTATAGGCTGCAACTTGACTATACAACAAAGGTCCGTCTAGTCAAAGCTATGGTATTTCCAGTAGTCACATATGGATATGAGAGATGGACAATAAAAATGGTTGAGCACCAAAGAATAGATATCTTTGAGCTATGGTGCTCAAGAAGACTCTTGAGAGTCCCTCGGACAGCCAGGAGATCAAACCAGTCGATCCTAAAGGAAATAAGTCCTAAAAATTCACTGGAAGAACTGATGCTGAAGCTGAAGAGCCAATGCTTTGGCCACCTGATGCAAAGAGCCGACTCATTGGAAAAGACCCTGATGCTGGGTAAGACTGAAGGCAGGAGGAGAAGGGGATGACAGGGGATGAGATGGTGGAATGGTATCACCAACTCAGTGGGCATGAATTTGAGCAAACTCCAGAAAATAGTGCAGGACAGGGAAGCCTTGTGTGCTGCAGTCCATGGGGTCACAGAGTCGGATGTGACTGATCAATTGAACAATTGGTCATCAGCTGAAGGGTTCAAAGCTCGTTTCCAATGACGTCCTTGGCTGTCCTGCCTGGAAACCACACACCTCACTTTGGAGTGTAATTTTTCTCGCCACATACTAACTTGAGACCTTGGTCACAAATGAGACTTTTGGGGGGCAGCTGTGTAGGGTCTTAGTTGCAACACGTAGGTCGCACTCAGCACTCGGGTTTAGTTGCTCCGTGGCAGGTGGGATTTTCGTTCCCCAACCAGGGATTGAACCCAAGTCCCCTGAATTGGAAGGTGAGTTCTTAACCACTGGACCACCAGGGAACTCCCCAAGGGTCCCACTGGGTTGTCCCAAGACATCCCTTACTTGTCTTATCCTGGAATGAGACGATACTCTCCTGGAAGCAGGCACTCTGCTGTTCTCAGCTCCACTGCCTACACACTCAAGGTGCTGGGGGGTATTTTAGAGAAGAGTCGCCAAGCTGATGAGCCAGCAGCATGATGGGGCATAGGAGAAGAAAAGGCAGGAGAGTCCAGAAGGGTGAGGACTCAAAGGGAAGGCTTTAGAAGTTTTGTTTTAGAAGTTACTCAGGCTTGGAATCTATTTTTCAGTGACATCAGAGATCTTGCCGGCCCAGCTGCCTCTGGCACTGAGTCAAGAGCAAGTCTATAGTGTCAGTAACATCATACAGCGTGGCCGTGTGATACTGAGCACGCACAAAATGGGAACACTGAGGTTTAATAGGAAACAAAGGAGCACTCTCGCTGGATCTAGTTCCCCCCAGTGATTTTTCTAGATAATCTTGTTCCTGAACATCAGATCTATCACCCAGTGTTTCTTTGGGATATTAGGAAACATATTGGTCCATTTGTTTAGCCCTAGGAAAGGTATGTGCTCGATCTTGGGCACATAAAAAGGCAGAATTTATAAGCACGAGAAAGAGTTCTGGGATAAGACAAGAAGTGTCCAACTCTTAGCCAAGTGTCGGATCCGAGGTGCTATGCTGAGAACTGGGTCTCATTACTCTGCAAACAGGGTCTCTGTTAACATGCTAAACTTAACTGGGTTACGCTCGTTTGTTTTTTGAATATTTATGACACCAGGTAGGAACTCTGAGTTAAGGGCTCCAAACCTGTCCTCGCCACTAAATTCCCTGCCTGCATTTCAGCCGTCAGCCCTTTCTCAAAAGGTCCACTGTAGAAATGTCCCAGCATTATGACCCACCTCTCCTCCCCTCATTGGAATCTACCATCCAAATACCTTCCCGACCTACCACCGCCCCTCTGTCCCCACCATGGCCCCCAGTCAGGTCTTCACCGTCACCCACCGAGTGGACTTGTACAAAAGAGCTTCACCAGGCTTCCCCAGCGGCACAGTGGATCAATGTAGGGGACACGGGTTCCATCCCTGGCCCAGGAAAGGTCCACACGCCACAGGGCAACTAAAGCCTGCGCTCTGTGACTACTGCAGCTGGCGCCCTAGAGCCTGTGCTCCGCAACAGGAGAAACTGCTGCAACCAGACGCCTGCCCACCACAACTAGAGAGCAGACCCCACTCACCACAGCTGGGCAAAGCCCGCGAGAAGCAACGAGGAGTCCCTTGGCTGCAACCAAGACCCAGTGCGGGCAAAAATCAGTGAAAAATAAAAAAGAAGCAATGATGGAGTGCTTCTCTCTCTCTCCCCTCCCTACCTCTTTCTTTCCCTCCCCACCCCTTCCTCTCCCTCCTTCCCTTACCTCCATCCTGCCCTGGAAGGACACAAGAAAGCAGCCATCTACCAATCAGGAAAAGAACTCTCACCAGCAACCAAATTGACCCGCACCCTGCCTCCAAAACAGTAAAGAAAAAAAAAAGTTCATATCTGCGTTTAAGCCATCTAGTGTATAGTGTTCTGGCATGGCAGCCCAAGCTGACAAAAGCACCTGGGTGGCTGAATGTTGCAGAGGCGACCTCCCACTGTTCTAACCAAGGACTCCTCCGCAGACCTGGGAGTGGTTTCCTTATGCAACCACTGTCTGACACCCCATCTCGGGCTATCCCCATCTATCTCGTGTTCCTGACACTGATGAGCTCTCTTGGGTCCTTAGAGCTTTTCCAGGTGTATAGGATTGCCTGGGCTGTAGCGCCTTTCAAACCACTTTCTCTCTTAGGGGCTTCATAATTGCTTCTGACTTTTACTCAAAAGTATGCATTTTACTTTTTCCACCCTGCAAATTCCTTGGGCCTCTCTTTTGCCAGGAACCTGTTTGTGTAAATCAACCTTCCCAGTCCCCTCCCTCCCTTGTCCTAGATCTTTGCCAGTATTACCAGATCATAGTCAGATTATTCTGTCCTAGGACTTCTCAGATAGGGCTAGTGGTAAAGAACCCACCTGCCAATGCGGGAGACGTAAGAGAGGTGGCTTCCACCCCTGGGTCAGAAAGATCCCCAGGAGGAGGGCATGGCAACCCACTCCAGTATTCTTGCCTGCAGAATCCCATGGACAGAGGCGCCTGGGGGTGGGAGGGGCTGGAGTGGGCTACAGTTCATGAGGTCACAAGGAGTTGGAAACAACTGAAGCAACTCAGCATACATGCATACAGAGAGATGGTACCTCACATGAAACTTAAACCCAGCCTGACTGCCTTCCTCCATGCAAACCCAGGGCTCTCCAAATTCCTCTCTGGTTATGTAATTGTAATTCCCACAGGCTTTTTCCTAAAATGTTTGTAATATTGTACCTTCAAGCACAGATAACTCTTCATAACTTACATTAGTTTAAACATACATGAAACCGGAATAGAAATATAACCCACCTGGGATTCAGGCACTTCATTTCGGGGCTGGTCGTTGCCTCCCTCTACACGTAAGCAGATAAACCTGTTGTGTCAAC